CACCTGTAATCCTAAAACTCTGGGAGATTGAGGCAGGTGGATTACTTGGCTCACAAGTTCGATACTAGCCTGAGCAAGAGGGATACCCCCCCTCTAAAAAATAGCTGGCTGTTGTACAGGCAGGCACCTGTAGTCCCAGCTATTTGGGAGGCTGAGGCAAGAGGATTGCATGAGCCCAAGGGTTTGAGGTTGCTGTGAGCTATGACGCCACAGCACTTTACCAAGGGTGACAAAGTGAGACTATCTAAAAAATATCTATAGATGTAGATATTGAAGGAACTAAGGAAATTTCACCCCAAAATATGATTCCTTGGTATAAAGAATATTTTCAGTGAAAAGGCCATTTTTGATTAGAAAGCACCCAGCCTCTTCTCTATAAAACCTGAATAACCTGAGTTAGAATCAGAAAAGGGGCTTCTGGCCTCCTTATCACATGCTAGACCTGCCTCTAAGGTCATTTGAAGCGCAATACCTGTCTCTCAGGTTAATCTACTAATCAATCTGTTTCCCTCCGTCTACCCATCCCCCCTTAGTAACCCCTTGCTGTACATATACTTTCTAGTTTCTCTCCCCCCTCCCTTCTAAAAGGGATCTTTAAAAGCCACTGACTATCACTGAAACCTTGAGAAATCATTCTTGTGGTTCCCCCCATGTGCACGGTATTTGAAAATAAACCTTTCTCTTACAAATCTACTATAACTGTGAGTTGATCTTTTCAGCAAACCAACCTAGGGGAAAAGGGTAAGTTTCCCTAAGACTCCCCTTCAATATAGAGATAGAGATAGAAATATATAGAAAGTAAAATTAGGCCTATAATTAATAGTAATGTACCAATGTCAATTTCCTGGAGTTTTGTTTTTGTTTTTGTTTTTTAGAGACAGAACCTCAAGCTGTCGCTCTGGGTAGAGTGCTGTGGCATCACAGCTCATTGCAACCTCCAACTGTTGGGCTCAAGCCATTCTCCTGCTTCCACCTCCCAAGTAGCTGGGACTACAGGCACCTTCCACAATGCTCAGCCATTT